ATATATATATATATATATATATATATACATATATATATTTTTACATATTGATATATATATATAAAAATGTAGTAAAAAAACAACCATGGCCAAAAACGAAGGTCAACTTCTTGACAGTGAGCTAGCAAGACAGGCTGGCAGGAATGGGACTGAATAGGACGTATATAGTGTATATTATAGTATTAGATGCCGGTTTTCCTTCGATCTCGCGAATCAGTCAGAGGAAGAAAGAGATAATTTATAATAATGTTCAGTATTTAGGGAATAGGATTTTTTAGGGAAACATTTCTTTTTTAACGTTAATTAATTTTTCCTTTCGTTTCGCGAGAAAACAGGTAGGGAAAGAAGAAAAATTAGAGCAAAAAAGTCAAAGATATATATGTATACTCGTGAAAGATCGATGAAAAACAGCGCGGTCGAGGAATGGACGCACGAATATAATAGCGAAGAGAGAAAGGAGTTGTTGGAGTTGTCTCGTATAATATTTAAATTGGAAAAGAAGAGGGGGAGGTTGAGAGACGGAGGAGCGAGAGAGAAAGAGAGACAGACAGAAGAGAGGACGATATGCACGATAGGATGTGAATTAGTTTGGAAGAGAAGATAATACGTTCGTCAAAGTAGACGGCATGCACGATTGATCTTCCTTCTGCGCAGCGCGTCTCGACGAAGATCTTTTCTTTACGGGACGCTGAAGCTAAAACGATCGGCAAGCGGCTAGGTTCAATTTTTTGTCGTTATTCTTGTCTCTTCTTCTTTTTTTTTTAACGGTCCTTTTTTTTTTAACGGTCCTATCGCGCCATTTTGTGCAAGATTTTCGGCAAGAAATCGAATCGAAACGTAATCGAATCTTAAAATCAAAGAATAATCCGTATAACGTGTTGGAATAAACTTGTTCGAAACACTTCAACACTCTGGTTACTGGAATTGTTAACGCTATCACGTGTTGAATGCATCCTCGTATTCGATAGAAGTAGAATAATATAATAATGAATATAATAATGTGCTGAATAAATCCCTTGCTCGCTCGAAAGGAGGAGAGGAATGAACGGTTCTCTCATCATTTGTCATCGAACTTCTCCGATCACACTCTACTCTCGATTCAGGACTCGACTCTAGCGACTCTTGTTAATGATACGATCACTTTCAAAATTAGCGGGGAGAGCAGCAAACAGCAAAGCACTTGGGCACACATGCAAATAGACCCACATGCAAGTGAACTCGAAATATAATGTATAATATGCCTGTCTATCTATCGGCGGGGGATAGATAGGCAAACAAAATAGATAGATATATATATAAATAGATAGATAGATAAAATGGATCGTGTTGAAAATGTTATCGAACGACGGACATTCGTCGTTGCCCCGGGCGATGTTACGGACTCTCTTGTCTCAACCGACGATCGTCAACGAGTAGCACGTAAACGAACGATTTGTCGTAATCTTCGTACGACCTCGAGTATGCGTCGAGATCCAACGAATTGCAGACGTTTCTACTTCTCTATCTTTATTTTTTTTTCTTTTCTTTAGTTTTTTGTATTCTTATTATTTTTTTTTATTCGTCTCAATTTCGTTTTCTTTCTTTTTTTTTTTTTTTTTTTTTTTTTGGAAGACTCGCATCAGCTCATCCACAATCCAATGGTAAAAATGCCGTCGTGTGTATACGATTGCAGATGAGTCGAGCGTGGCCGGCGATACATAACCGTAATCGATATATAAATGCAGAGTAAAGAGAAAGTACGAGAATAAAAAGTAGTCAATAAATTGGAATATATAGTACGGAGGAAGAGGGAAAACTCACCGGATCTGGCGGGAGTCTGTAATCCGTGGATATTTCGCTGCTCGCACTGCGCTCTTCGGTCGACCTTTCCCAGTCCATCTCTTTTTTTAACGACTGCAAACGAACATCGGGCACACGTCAAAGTAATAATTGGATAGCTGTCGATGCTATTCGAAGAGAGTACGAACTTGTTCGCTCGTCGAGGCGAACTTCGCTCGAAATCATTAGCATTTTATATTCTCGAGGAGGCGTGATTAATTTGATAAACAATTCAAAGATAGAGAGCGATGCATCGTGTAAACGAATAACGTTATCTGATCGAATAATTAAACGTGTTTACGCTGCTACGTCTTAAAAATATCGAATATAAAGTAACTAATTCTCAAACTATTCTATTTATTATACTAATTTATACGTGAGATTGATCGTTAAGAAAATTATCGAATTTTGAAAGGAAACTTTGCAAAATGAAACGAAGTACGTTATTTTTCGTATCAATCCAACAACAATTGTATTTACATTAAAAATTTTCTCTCTCGTGCAATTTTTTTCTTTACTTTTGTTCAACCACTCTGCACCGTCACAAACAAAACACGAAAATTTCAATAATTAATATTATTGAAACTCTTTCTCTCAGACGCGAAGATTCTAAATTTCAAAAATTAAAAAAAAAAAAAAAAATCCTAAATTCGACGATCTAAAGAGAAAAAAAAAAAAAAAAATAGGAGAAAACAAAAGAGTACTTACAAGTGGAACTTGCTGGACTGGGGGTAACCCCGACGGGCCCGCGAGAGGCTCTGTACTGTGCGGGGACGGAAGCCGGCTCTGCGGTAAGTTCAACGGTAGCACACCAGGCGTGCTCCCGGTATTATTACTTAGACTCATATCCGAGGGTCCACTGTGGACCGAGATCGGGCTAAGGGAACCCCTCGTTTCCTCGAGGCTGGCGGCATCCTCGGAGTCCCTCCTGGGCCGATCGAGGGCCAACGGCCCTGGACAAGGGCTACCGGGTCCCGTGGGCGATGGCGGGCAATCCGTCATGTCTACCGCCTCTGTCGACTCGCTGCTGGGCAATTGGGCCACGTTCTGTTGAGTTTGCTCGCATTCTTTCACCCCACCACCCGATGGCAACCCCGTGCCACCGGACGACGACGTGTTTCCTTCCCTGTCTCTCTCTTTATTGCTCGCCTCCTTTATACTCTCGCGTTCACGGTGATGTTCTCGCGACGTCTCGCGCTGTATACCCTCGGATGTGCTCGTGTGTTGTTGTTGTTGTTGTTGTTGTTGTTGCTGTTGTTGTTGTTGCTGCTGCTGCTGCTGCTGTTGTTGTTGTTGCTGCGGTTGCTGCTGTTGCTGCTCGTCCCTCGAAGCTACCGCCGCGTTGATGTTCGTCATATCCGCTAGACCCTTCACCTTGAGGCTCTCCGCTGTCTTGAGGAGGGCCGATAGCTGGCAGTACTCGACGTTTACCTCGCCCTTGTACATGAAGTCGACGAGGGTACGTAGCTCGGCGAAACGTACGTCCTTTAGGATGACTATGGGGTGGCGGTTCGGGTGGTCGAGGAATAGGGCCTGGAAGTAGCTGGAGCACGCGGAGAGGACTACCTTGTGGGCACGTATCGAAGGTCCCTCCGTGCACGCCAGTGTCACGTCCACCAGCGACTCCGACTCCAGCAGTTGACTGAACACACCCAGCAAGTTGCTCTGATGATTGTTCCACCTCAGGCAGTAATGCTCACTTCCCATGTCTGAACTGCACCCCGCAACCCTGCTGCAGAAGAAACATTTGTACCGGCCCTACTATATCCTCCTTTCTTGCGCGTACGTCTTGCGAATATTTATTCTCTCTCTCTCTTTCTCTCCCTCTCCCTCTCTCTCTCTCTCTTTCTCTCCCTCTCTCTCTCTCCCTCTCTCTCTTTTATTTCTCGTTTCTGTTCTTTTTCTCGCGTTTTTTATGCGTTATTTTCTTTTATCTTTTCTCCTTTCTTTTCCCCTTTCTCGGTTTTTTCGCGTCGCTCCCGTGCTCATTGTCGACCCGTGCTGCTCACTGCTTCGTCGTTGAAGTATCAGAGGTTAGTTGCTCGCGTCGACGCCCGTATTTTTTTTCTTTCTTTCTTTCTTTCTTTCTTTCTTTCTTTCTTTCTTTCTTTTTTATTTCCGAGAAATTGAGAAACTGCGCGTTTCCTTAAGCCAGGGGAGAGGCCAGTTTTAGTTTTCGAAAGGAAACTGGACGATCGGTGAAGCTTTTCTTTTATTAATTTACACGATTCGTGCTAATTCTCTCAGTCGATCAACATCCGGATCTCCCGTTGCAATACACGATATTGCAAAAATATTACGTCACGTATTAAACAAATGAGATGTCGATTGGTTTAAGATAAAAAAAAAAAGAAGAAAAAAGAAAAAAGGTTTTCGTTAATGCCATGCGATTATATAAATCAATCTGTTTCCATTTTAATCTCGGATCGAATTCAGCGCTATCATCGTTCTCTTACCTAAAAACCCTTCCACTCTTTTTTTTTCTTTTTTCTTTTTTTTTTTTTTCTAAAAATAAACTTCATCAACTTGTCACACGTAAGAAAATCGCGTACAATTAGAATTGCGCGCTCTTTGTACAATATCTTAGATAGCTGATGCAAATAGTAGTTGGGCGATAAGAAGAATAAATATCGAGTCATTCCTCCTTCTCCTATGCGTGTTCCTCGATTCCACTCGTACTCTTCTTCGAAATATGTAATCACTTCGAAAAATTTACGTACAAAGAAAAAAAAAAAAATATCTCGACCACGGTATACTACGGATCTCCTCTCCACATTTCTTTACATCCCCACTCCTTGACATCCCCTCCCCACCCTTCCTCGAGCTTCCAGCCTTATCCGCTTCCCGCCGAAACGATCAGGCACCGTTACGCAACACGGACGATCGCGTGGGCATCGGCGGATGGGCATTAAATCACGTACTCGCCGTTCGAAAAAAGAAAAAAAAAAAAGAAAAAAATAAGCGTCTTTCGACGTCTAAATTGGAATTCTCTGTAGGCTGTCGCGGAAAACCGCGCGTGTACGCGGACGCCGTCGCTATCACGATTTCCCGCGGCATAAATCAACGGGCGCGGAAGCGCGAGGAACGCGGAGGAAGCATAGCCCCGTCTCGTGATCATCGCGAGATTTATTCGAGCGAGGCGCGAACTCTCTCTTGGCGTCGTTCAATTCCGGACTGACGCTCGCGGTCCCCGAGAAGGAAGATGCACGAAAGGCGAACGATGATATCGGTTCACGATACCGGCCTAACCTTATCTCTCCTCCTCGAAGGCAACCAAGGTTATTATTTATTCGCCTGCTCGAAACCGCGAAATGCTCGTGCACGCACGTGTCCCGGACATGTGCGTACGTACGAGCGGGCAGCGTACGCGACGTCGTGTTGCATTTACGCGTTTTAGCGACTGGGAGCTGTGCAATGGAGATGGAGATAAGAATTTTTGTATCATTCGATTATTGAAATTTTCGTTCTCGATCGAGGAATGATTCAGGCGATTTTAGGGCGAGGTTGCTTACTATACAAGGGGGAAAATGACGAGAGATGGGATGAAAAAAGAAGAAAAAATAGGACGTGAAAATATCGAATAAAGTTTGTTTACTCGAAAGCCGCGTTTTCTCGAGTAATTCATGCTTGAAAACTTATCGAGTAAGTACGTAAAGTAAATTTGTTTATTTGCGAATCATCGATTCTAGAAGGTTATTCTATACGTACAGGAGTAAATATAATATAGTGTGTGGTAATATTCTTTTATTATACGAAGATAATAATTATAACACGTGGAATAGAAAATATATAGAAGTATAGGCGAACGATGTTCGATTTTCAAAATTAATTAATGAATAAGCACTCGAAATTTTATTACATTATTTGATTCTTTCTGGAAAATGGATGATCTCGGATAAATTTATTTCGCGTTTAATTTTTTTCTTTTTCTTTTTTTTCTTAATGCGTTCGTAGTGGGATCGATTGTATTGGGACACCTTATATATTCGAGCCACGAAACCCGCGTGGACGCGCGTGTTCGCGTGATATATCGGCGGATGAATACGCGCGCGCTCGCGCTTGCGATGGCGTGCGCTAACGGCGAGCGATGCTCGCGTGATTCTCTTCGAGCCACGTGATAACGTTGCACACTGATAATGCATCGTGTATTATCTTAATAATAAAGAGAAAATAATATTTTTCTTACCAAATTACGGATCGTATTTGAATAATTCGACGCCTGACGAGTCCTTACTTCGAAGAAACGAAAGTTTTTTAATTAGAATCGATCTCTGATACTTTATTATTATTATAACGAGAATATGGAAAATACGTAAGAGTGTCAGGTTTACTTAAGCGATTTTGTTTATAGACGCGCTTCGTTAAATTCGCCGAATTAATTCGTCGAATAAGATTATTCTATAAATATTGTAATATCTCGATTGAAACAAATTAATATTAACATTGATGTTTTTTTTCCGTGACACGAGCAAGCAATTAAAAAATCGTAAAAAATCTCATCCGATCTAATGATACAACGAACGTTCCCCAAATTCTACAAATATTATCCCATTCATGTCAAATTTTCCGTAGATAAATTCTATGGAAACATCTTTGTCTTATTATATAGTTATAAAATTTCTTCGAAAAATCAATTATAATAAATATTTATTATATTGAATAGAAGAAACGAAACGAAAGTAGGACAGATTATTTATTCTAGATGCAGATCTAGATTTCTATTATAAGTTAATCGCTATTTATTTCAATTATCGATCATCATTGCTAACTTAACCTAATTTGTGACAAGTGGCGGGAGAAAAAGAAAAAAAAAAAAAAAGAAAAAGAATATAGAAAAATATAGAGAAAAATTCCAACGAGCGCACTTCACGTATTCCAAACACGATTCGGAAATCGCGATTTACCACCGGTTTCTACAACTCTGGTGTAAAAAAACGGAATATTCTTCGCGTGCTCCGGAAACTTGAGCGCGTTTTAATTAGAGCTTGCGGCTAAATTTGCCCGCCGGCTACTTCGAAAACTTTACCCGCGTGAAATCCGCCAGGAATCCGCTTACACGCGTGCTAACTCCCATGGAAAGAAACAAAAGAAACGATGACTTTGCTAATTTGAGCGAGGCCATCAGCTTGTACTTGGGTATTATATACGCGAAAAAATTATTTCGTTGAGCGAAACATCGCGTTTCCGGTTCCGCTTCTATCGTAAACAGTCTCCCTCCCAGATAATTGGTGATAATTTTTTTAAAGGATCAGAAAGGAAATCGTACTTTTAATACAAAACTCAAATCTTATATATATATATATATATATCTTTTTGCAAAAATAACAATTTATTATTAGAAATTCAGTAAATCCTTCGATAAATTCGAAGGAGGATTTTGTTTCGTGTTATTTTTTCTTATATAATTCTATTTTTTCTTTTTTACTCGAAATTAAAATCAAAATTTAAAATCCTAGCTAAATACAATCGTATTTTTCCGTGTTCAAATACGGTGTTTCCTGTCCACCATCGACGGTTTATTGTCCGTCTAAATATAAAAGGAGCAAAAGGTGTAATTACATTGATGATTTTCGAGACTGTATAACATGTTCACTATCACCGGAAACCTTCGAAGTTACGATGAATGCACAGCGACAACGTCATCGTTGAATACCGCGTGTGATTATTTAATCGAGACCGGTACAGTTCTTCGTCTCGTTCCATTTCGGTTGGTATGGTAATCGGAGGGGAAATAGTTGGAATTTTAGGGGTTGATTAGGTTTGTGATGCATCGAGGCTATGGACCAAGAGCGTTTTCGAATTCTGTTTAGGGTGGAGAGCTGGATAGAGATGTTAGTCGGTTAATTATATTTTGCTCTCATGGCTGGGCTAATATGTTGGTTGAAATTAATCATGATGAATACACGGGTGAATTTAGGACGAGTTTTAAGTAATTTCGCGGTAATTAGAAAGTTCTCGAATGGTTGGTCGAATAGAATACTTGATAATGAAGACATTTTATATCAAAATTTATATATATATATATATATATATTTTAATCGATTAAACGAGAAGAAACAATTGTAATAAACGAGAAGTAACAATGGTAATTCGTATAATTTATTTAATATTGAAAAAAAAAAATTGTTCATTGATATAATAATTCTCCGTTTTTATTACATTCTCCTACTTTGTACTGGTATATTCGTTACGCGTAGAAAATTTGTTGAAAAGTCATAAACTGATTTTCACAAAATTGCACAAAAGATTGAAACTCCGATATAAATATTTTATATTCAACGAGATGAAACCAAAGAACGAATCCATCGTTTAATTCGATTTGTCACACTTTTCGAAACACGGCGTGAATGTTAAATTTATTTTTTTCAAGCTCGTCCTTAACGCTGTGATACTTTCGTTGACGAATTGATTACCTAAGTGTCATTTCGTTTCATTTCTCTCTTCCTCTCTCTCTCTCTCTCTCTCGATTCTCTTCGATTTCTTCTTATTCCCCTTTCTCTCGTTTCCCTAATTCCTTAATCTCGTCAACACTTACGCCAACGCTTATTATATCAGGATCATAATCGTCGAAAAAAAAAGGAAAAGAAAAAAGAAATCTCGTTTCCCACAAATTTGCTCAAGAGACAAAGACACGCGCTAAGTCGAGGAGCTGAGTCGAGAGTGCGAAAAACTCGTACCCTTTAATCAGAAGAAAAAATAACAGAAACTGCACGTTTCTCGTAAATTAACACG